TACTAATACCTATGTTTCCTCTAGCCTTCTTTGCATAACAATATAAAACTAAATTACATTATAGGTAACCCTAAATAAAAGCTGTTTCATAGACTAATATTATTCCCGTTTAAACACATAACATCTATGATTCATTGTTTTTCCATGCAGACGTGAGACGTGACGATCAATACTTGCAGTTGTTTTTCACGTAATAGTTTTAACTATATCGTACGTTTTTATTTTGTTTTTCAGGTGTTGGAATGATGACACGAAAATTGGGTAATACYGTATCTCCGGTGGTGGAATTGACCAAAAGCGATGATGGCAAATTTGTGCTATCGTCGAACTCGACGTTTAAAAACTCATCGATCGCGTTTAAACTCAATGAAGAATTCGACGAGGAGACACCTGATGGCCGCAAAGTGAAGTCAATCATCACCCAAGATGGAAACAAGCTGGTGCACACCCAAAAATGTGACAAACACAATGACACTACGATYGTTAGAGAATTTGAGCCCGAACAATTGAAAATGGTAAAAAGGACAATAAAATCYACCATTATCGTGGGGGGAGGGGAGAGAGAGGAGAGAGAGATTAAATAGYTAATTGAGATTAATTGAAAAATTCAATTGAATTACAAATTTTATTCCCAAATAATGGAGATTTTTTTTTGTTTACTAATTAAAATACATTTTAAGGATATAAGTATCAATAGAGTAAATAAAGTCATAAAGATAATATAAGTACCCTTAAAAATCTTTCATTCACAAAAACCTTAAATTTGTGCTAAAAACTTGAAAACTCTTATAAAAAATATAATATTTTTTTTAATGTTGAATCTTGTTATAGCTAATATAATATTAATAACGGTAATAACGGTGTGCTTTTAATTTTTCAGGTCCTGACTGTCGATGACATCACTTGCACCAGRATCTACAAACCAGTCCAATAAAAATAATACATTACAATAATATGCTTATTATTATTTATTGTATTATTTAATTACTATACAATTCAGATCTTTTCTACTTATCCGAAATTTTGGCTACTTTATATTTATTATAATGTTATACATGTGATTACTGATATAATTACATAAACTATATTTATTTAATTTTAATGATGGTCTTGTACTCTTATAATCATTATCGTAATTGATTTATTGTTAGTAGCTTGACAATAATTGTCAGTATAAAATAATTAAATTTGAATATTTAATTAATATCAATACTTATGTACTCAGTAAATAATAAAAATAATTTTACAATATTATAAAACATTAGGACATAAGTATGTCTAAAATAAGCAAGTAGCAAATACTTACTCATCCAGCATGACAAAATCTTCGACTACCACTGATCCCATTATTAATTCTAGATAATGATAATTAATATAACAATTAAAATATGATACTATAAGAATGTTGAAAAACATATTAAATTATATACGAACACATTGTCACATCAATCTGGAATAATTTGAAAACAAAAGATGTTTTAGTCGATATTTAACTTTATGTTATCTATTTAATAACATTTTAAGAGGACGTGAGTGATACCCGCATGTGTTGTCTCCGTCTTAAAGGTGCATTATATTATAGTAAATTTTATGTTCAGCAGAACACGTGTAGCTCCCTTTGCTTAAAAATTAGAGTGAACTGACCTCTTATAAAATTTAAAGGTAAGATTATTATCTAGACAACCTCATGTGCTTTTTATCATTTTAATTTAAAGCGAGTTATGAGTATTTTAAAATTGTAAATTTTTTGTGCATCTTAAAATACTCATAAATTGCTTTAAAATTTAAATATAATAAAAAGCATATGAGATTGTCTAGATAACAATYATACMTTTAAATTTTATAAAAAGGTGAATTCACTCAAATTTTTAAGCAAAGGGAGCTACACGTGTTCTGCTGAACGTAAAATTTACTATATTATAATGCACTTGTAAGACGGAGACAACACATGCGGGTANTATATTTATTTAATTTTAATGATGGTCTTGTACTCTTATAATCATTATCGTAATTGATTTATTGTTAGTAGCTTGACAATAATTGTCAGTATACAATAATTAAATTTGAATATTTAATTAATATCAATACTAATGTACTCAGTAAATAATAAAAATAATTTTACAATATTATAAAACATTAGGACATAAGTATGTCTAAAATAAGCAAGTAGCAAATACTTACTCATCCAGCATGACAAAATCTTCGCCTACCACTGATCCCATTATTAATTCTAGATAATGATAATATTAATATAACAATTAAAATATGATACTATAAGAATGTTGAAAAACATATTAAATTATATACGAACACATTGTCACATCAATCTGGAATAATTTGAAAACAAAAGATGTTTTAGTCGATATTTAACTTTATGTTATCTATTTAATAACATTTTAAGAGGACGTGAGTGATACCCGCATGTGTTGTCTCCGTCTTAAAGGTGCATTATATTATAGTAAATTTTATGTTCAGCAGAACACGTGTAGCTCCCTTTGCTTAAAAATTAGAGTGAACTGACCTCTTATAAAATTTAAAGGTAAGATTATTATCTAGACAACCTCATGTGCTTTTTATCATTTTAATTTAAAGCGAGTTATGAGTATTTTAAAATTGTAAATTTTTTGTGCATCTTAAAATACTCATAAATTGCTTTAAAATTTAAATATAATAAAAAGCATATGAGATTGTCTAGATAACAATYATACMTTTAAATTTTATAAAAAGGTGAATTCACTCAAATTTTTAAGCAAAGGGAGCTACACGTGTTCTGCTGAACGTAAAATTTACTATATTATAATGCACTTGTAAGACGGAGACAACACATGCGGGTATCACGTACGTCCTCTTAATGTGAGCTGTATTTATTTTAGTACCGCTTCATTTTGATCCCGTCCATCCATAAGCCTTGCAGGTACTTACAAGATATGTTTTTGGGTTGGATACAACTTTTTATTTCTAACTGATTTTTGCGAGGCTTYATAATATTTTGTATATTGCCAAAGAAACTCAAATCAACAACAAAAACAAACAAATTAAATTCCTAATAAAATTTAGCATACAACTAGATATTTTTCCTCTTCACTATACCCAACTATACATCTACGATTCCTCAAATTTTCTTTATGGACGAAAAATATCAAGTAGCGTACTAATGTGCTACTTATAAAATATGCGAACAAAATTTTTTATAATTTAAAGCGAACCATTAAAAAATATATTAATATATACATTTATGATGCATGGGCTGAGACTTAAAATAAAAGTTGTTATTATTGAGTTCATTAATTCATCTTTAACTTAAAGGATTTTGGTAAAAACTTTCCTTTAATTTATACGTGTTGTAAAAATTACTTACTTCACATTGTTGTATACAAAATAGGGGAAAAGGGTTCCCCGCGAATAATTACTGTAATAATTGTATTAAATTATTACGTTTTGACGTTATTACATGTTTACATTTTAATACCCTAATACACAGAATAAATGAAAATCTTTGAGTGAGTTGGTCCGTTGGCAAATAAAAAACAAATTGTTTATTAAAATATTATATTAATACACAGTAACGTTTCAGAAGGTATTAAGCTAATTTTTTCGAGTTATAATTTGATTAATTTTTGTACCATTTTAAAATGACCAAATAATCAAATTTGTATTTATTAAAAAGTAAAGATTATGATAATTTGTTTAT